GCGCCGGCGGCGGCGGCGAGGAAGACGACGAGGAAGACGACGTTGACGGCGACGTTGACGACGGCTCCCGGCAGCTGCTGATGCAGCTCAAGCACCGCGAGCGGCGCCCCGTGACGCGCGCGCTCCTCGCGGGCAACAGCACAGATTTCGGCCTGCGCAAGTGAGTATTACTCGGGCAACTTTTCTTGAACGATGGATTGACGATTTCGGGTGGAGTGGGGGTATTAGTTACAAAGTCGGCCGCTAGAGTATTTTAAGTAATGCCAACGTCTGTGAAATGAAAGTTAAAACTGCATCTTGTGCTTAACTTTTTCGGGAGTTTTAGGTGACTCCTTAGAAGGACCTGGACCTGACTCAGCCATTTATTTCGATATTGACAATAAATCTGAACAGGGGTTCTGCACTATGAAAGCAACTAGCTTTGACTAGGTTCTGTTTCACGCCAACCAAGTTTTAATGCTTGGAAGGTTGTCATCAGTGCCCGCTGCGAGCTTTTGCCTTCAACTGTTTATTGCACAAGAGAGGGGGATCAAGGTCATCGTTGAAGAAAAATTGCGCGAGTAATATCAAATTCTTCATCAGGGACTCCAAACCTATTTCTTGGATCGACTCCCTTTTAAGAGAATTGTTTGCTTCATCGACCTCCTTGCATTTTTGATGCAGCGCACAAACTCGTAAGACAAATAGTTACGCATAAAGGGCTTTATCTCATCCGATCGCCTTTGTAGGCTGTTTACTTACGTGTCCAAAGAAGGTGAAATGGAGATTTAATACTACCTTTTAATAAAGTAGATATCAATTGTTACGATAAACAGCAGGAAAACTGGTGCTGGCGAAGTGAACCATATGACACAAAACATAATTTTATTGAATAATGAAAGAATGTACGTAGAAATACACATTGTGCTTAATAATTTACTAATTAAATGACACGTTTACTCATAATATTCATCAAATGACAAAGTATAAAAAGCACTTTCGTACACATACATTCCTATGAACCTGTTTTATGTAGTGATACTTTCTTTCGCTGCATAATATTCTAATAAAACTTCCTCACACAATTTATTAATATTTCTTTCTTTACCCCACTCCTTGATAATATCGCATTCATTACGATATACAAAATTTAATTTACTGGGTATGAAATTTTCTACAGCTTTTGCAGCTTCACTTTTAATACTTTCATGAATATCTTCCATTTTTTCGGAACAGACAGCGATGGTCAACTCAAATATACCCTCCAAGGCCACCAATGCACCGCTCAAATTAATCTAACACATAATTATCCTCATTACCTCATACCTAAAATCATCATTACGCCTACTTGTAGAAGACAATACGTTCAAAATGTTGCAAATACGATTGAATAAGATAAAATATTGTTTATTACACATGTCTGAAGGGACATTATTTGCTCGTTAGTTTGCTCGTTACAAAATACACCCATGCTAACGCGCTCGTGAATAATTCACTATCGTGCACATAAAGGTACATTTCCGCCACTTTTAAAATTAAATGATATTATGATAGCAATTAATTCAATGATATTTTAATTTATATTATTTTTATTATTTAATAGCAAAATTAAATGATATTTTGAGTACCAATATTTTTAAACAGGGTGGCTACTTTCCGGTTTTCCATGGGTGGCTCCTTTGCCGAAAATCGGAAAATCTTAGGGGATTTCTTTGCTCTGGAAAAGTCGGGGAAGAATTAGGGATGCAGAATTAGGGATCCTGATTAGCAGAAGAATCGGTATAATTCAGGAGAAATGTTGAGATGGTTATGGAACTACACATTAATACTAAAAACATCAGTACAGCTTGTTTCTGTAAATTTTTATTTGGGAGAATTTAAAAAAAATGTATTGTTTTACAACAAAATACGAGAGCTGTCCAGTTAGTGTCAGCGTAACTAATATTTTTTTTAAGTGCTGTGAAATTACAAATCTTATTAGGGAAAAAATTCCTGGCAAAACTGGGGGGATTCAGGGAAACTTGTTCTAGAAAATGAATGGCCACCCTGCTAAAAATCTCGATTTATAATAATTATTATTTATTTTATTTAATAGCTATTTATTACACATACAAATTAAATAACTTGATTATATGTGGCTAGGCCGAAAACATTAAAGCTATTACAATACCTACATCATACCGCATTCTAACCTTTCGAATCCTGGTATTCACTCCCAAACGGTTTCTCCATCGCATCAAAGCCGCGGAAAAGAGACCATAAGACCGTAAGGCTAAAGATGGAAAAAAAATCGATTAGATACGCTTTTGCCTCTGAGCTTAGTTTCTGTTATTCATTGTTGGGCAGTTGTTACAAAATGCAGACCATGTTGAGAATTTTTAAGAACCGGCCATTACATACCTGCTGTACATAGTGCGAAGAATATTTTCTTGCGAATTCTATTGTGCTGAAGTGTAATCTACAAACATCATTTTCTGTGCAGCAGTTGACATTCTGAGATCGGACGGCAAATATTGATACTCTGTTTAGAAATATAGTGTTGATCTGAAGCGAATGGCACTCCCTCACCAGCCAGTAGTTTAAACCTGAAGTAGGTTAAGCGGGGAGTATTTGAATTAATACATCGCGAGAAAATACAACTAATGTAGCAGTATTATGTTTTAAATAAAATGTTTAATTTTTAATGCTGTAATATTTATTTATTATTCTTATTTACAAAAAAGTCAATGGTCACTTACAAAGCTACTTCAATCTAGACAATTTTCGCCCACAGATAGCGCTCACGGTACGCAAACGTTCTACAGCAAGGGTTTCCAACTTTAGGCATGATTGCAGCCGTTCTTTATTATTAGGTCATTTTAAACAAATGGGCTAACAGAAAATGGGTACTGGTAAAATATAATAAGCATAATTCATTCTAAAAAGGTTTAATTATTTTAATTGCTTAATACCTAACTATTGCATAAAAGGGAGTAATAAACATGTATTAAAACAAGAAGTTCATTTAAATTAATATTTCATCGATGGCAAAAAAGAATAATATCGTAAACACAAACTGAATGTTAATAATGTAGTCAAAATAAACTTCAAGAAAATCAATATAGTGGGAGTAAAGCCTTCGATCAGCTGCATCTACCAATGAACGAATGTTCGTCTCCAGTTCTGTTGTTCCTAAACTCAAAAGATAACAGAAAAATAAATTTTTAAATTGATTTCTGGACTGATGTTTAATAAATTGCACAGAAGAAATCACACTTTCACATGTATATGTGCTCTCTAACATTGAAGTAATTTTTAGTTCAAAATGTCTTACGTTTATATATTTTTCTCTGGGCAGAACTTTCACAGCTGTAGTTGTAGGTGTGAAGTTATTCCTCGAACTAGGTGCTCTTGAGTATGTATTCTTTTTCAAATTTTAAAAATAAATAGCACATACTTTGAGTAGCCCTTCGGGTGACCAATGGAGGTTAGCTTTTCGTGGTGCGCCTTAGGGTTCCGTGCCCGGTCAGAGAAATATAGAGCTGTGCCTTACCATTACAGATGTACAATTTGTTTATTCAAAGTTCTTGCTACGGTAGCTTATTTTTTGGCATTCCACCTCCCAATTTATAAGTACGCAAAGACACAAAAGTGTACGTTATTCTTAATATTTACAAACGTTTGACGAAATATTATGAGACAGCGGCGAAAATGAAATAATTGTTTTTTAATACAAACCGTTTAAGTTTCTATAGCTGTCTGACGAAATAAAAGCTCAGGCAAGTGAAGTATGCTAGATATAGTGATGGGAATGCCTCATGCTTACCATAGTTTCTCTTAAGCATGAATAATAAATTAAAACAGGGTTCAAGCCTGGAATCACCCCCAGGTGACAAAGTCGGATTAATTATATAAGCTTATATAATTCCGTTATAAGCTAACTGAAACGGCACCCAAGCACAAGAATTTGCTCATTCGGGTGCATTAGCTGTCTTTGTTAACTTATTTGAAAAGGAATAAAATTTATTATTCCTCTAATTCACTCCTAAAGACGTTTTGAATCAGTTGAATATAAAATCTACACCGGATTGCAACCAGCTTACTAAGGAGCACACCTAGGGACTGTCGATGCCTCTCGAATTATTTGGACAAAATGTGGGGTGTTCCCAATAAAGCAAAGTCTTACACTTCCTAGTCTTTTGGATGACCTGGAAGTTAAGCTTAGTAGTTCTTACCCAAATTTTGTGGGGAAAATCCTAGAGCTCCGATAACTGTGGGGATGACCTGTGCTTTTACGCCTCGCATTCGGCTGATTTCGATTTCCCAACTTTTGTATTTATTATTATTACCCCGGCTCTAAAATGCAACAACTGAAATACTATCTCTCTTTTCTTTATAGAACAATAATAATATGAAATATAAGCAATCCAAAAATCCTCGTAGATTAAGATTTATCTTCTTTTTAGCAAATCCTTACTAGTTCCATGGCCATAACTACCTATTCTAGGCGACGACTCTTACACGTTTGCTCTAGCTCGCTGTTTTCATCGGTCTGATGAGTTTCTGTCGTCGGTAATATTCCTCTACCGATCATTTACTGCACCTACTGTTTCAATAGCATGTTGATGCAATGCTCTCGTTCTCGCAGCTCACATCACTAGTCTCTTTTCTTAATTTTTTAATAATATCCCATTATTAAATAAAATTGATATTTTAATTCAAATGCCCATGTGTTGTAAAATATTCTTTAAATAATCGACGTATATCATAGCGCGTTACTTTCCCTCTTGATTTCTCAAACTTCAAGAATTTATCATCGTTATCATTTGTATTTAAAAAAACTTATAAAAATGTCATTGAGATGACGTGAACCGTCTCTCTCTCTCTCTCTCTCTCTCTCTCTAATATATGAGAGAGAGAGAGAGAGAGAGAGAGAGAGAGAGAATGCGCCATAAATAATTTTCGTTCATTTTTTAAAAAAAATTGTCTTTAAAAGCTTGGCGTGCCGCCTCTGTGAGTGTTGGTGCGTTGTGCGTGCGCAGGTACTTCGAGTCGTACTGCGAGGTTACGTCTGCGCCGCAGGTGCGCGCGCGCGCGCTGCGCTGCGTGCTCTACACCAACGCCTCCGTCGAGGTGCACGGCGCGCCCCGCGACGCCGACTTCGAGCGCCTCTTCGTGCAGGTGCGTGCAGCCCACCCGCGCTCGCCCTCCGCCCTCCGCGGTCCCTCGTGCGCCGTGACCGGTCTCCAACTAACCACGTCACCCGGCAGCTTCAGGAGGCCGACGCCGTAAGGTCGCGCAACGGCGGCGGCTCCTGATTGGCTGCAAGTAGCGTGGTCTGCCGGAGACCGAGCGGGACAGGGAGTCTGCTTTAAGGCTCCCACAGACCGGCGCGGAAGACCCGCAACCTTCGCGGAATGGCTGCAGTGGAAATTTCGCATCACGTGTTGCTTTACTGGCACGTTCAGACCTGCGCGACAGGCGAACGACGCGGCAGCGGATTGGCGGCGATTTATTACCTGCGGATTTTGGTACGCAGTCGGACGCGTTTCAACCGCTGCCGCTTGATTTTCGTGGAAGTCCGTCCGCCTTCGAAAGTCTTCGCTCTCCTCTGGGGCCGAGCTCCCTAGCCTTTGTTTATCGGACGAGGAAAACTGTCACCAAATGCTGAGTCAGAAATGACGCTCCGGTGTAAAGGGTCCCGGGGATTTTGTTGCCGCGTCTAGCACGAAACTGTCCGCGCCGCGCCTGCTGCAGATTTGCCGCGCCGGCCTGTGTGAGCCTTTATTTATTTCAGATTTTATCCATACAAGTGAGTAGTTGCAAGATGTGAACTCACAATGTGCTAACAATAAAAGGCATGCAATGGAACTGTTACAAGTTTTAATACACAGGTTAAAAGCACACATTGGCTCTCCATCCACTCGCTCTGGCGACAGCGGGTGTTGCCAATCCTTTTCTTGAAATTCTTCTTCTTTTAATGCCATGCACTGATTAGGCTAGTTTCCAGTAGCTCCTAGATTCCAGTAGCTCCTAGATAGAGAGCAGCGCAATCTAAACGGCCACCGCCATTTAATATCTATACACCCAATAGCCCCGCCAGACAGCATCCAGGAGTTAGGGAGAAATTATAACAATCCAAGGCATTATGGAGAGTTTCGAGTATATTATCATTGGGTTTTGGTAGATTGGTGGTTCCTAGCTCACGGATAGTACCGCTCATACTAACTGGATATAAAATGGTAGAATCGGCGGCGCAAATTAATGCGTTTCTCTCTAGATATCTAGGGACTCTAGCCTCCGGAAGCCCCTAGCGCCTTCTTATGACACAAATCCTGAGCAAGTATACCTAGGGTAGTTTGTAATTGCTTTCCCTGGGGGCGCTTGTGCCCCAATTTTGTCGTTTGATTTGAATACCTGACAACGTAGGCCAGAATACAATATCCGCAATCTTATCCAGTAATTCAAATCGAAACTCCGATTGGTGATAAATTGCTAAAGGATTTTATTTTGCCAGGATCGGTTAACTGCCTCTTCTGGGATCTGTTTTACATGCTGACAAGAGTTCGCATGCATTCCATCGATTTTTAGCACCTCAAAAATCCCCCGATTTTGACTGGGTTTGAATCCTGGCATGATAACCACTATATATATCATCAAAGCGGGTTTTCTTGAATCGACCAAAAAGAATTGAGGTTTTTATTGACGGTCCACCCTTACAATTTTCTCTATAATGCACTGCATGCATAATCGTAACACATAGAATTTCACATGTGCAGTGGCGCACCAAAGGGGTGAGGGAGATTGTACCTGTAGCCTCCCCAACCACACACACAAACGCACACAAAAATCCTGGGAAGGGGGACTGCACGTAAATTATAATTCATGTCGAAGGCCACCGCGGACACAGAGATGCGAATGATCTTGGCTGTCCGGATGACGCCGCGTCGAAGGCAGTGGGTGCTACATTTCAACCATATTGTCGCAGACTTTCTCTGAAGCCTGAAGCCAGATACCGCCTGATATAGCGGAGATCAACAGCTATTACGAACGCAGTATGTCGGACAAGGAGGACCTAGAGTTCTAATTCTGACTGTGGCGGATATTCGACTCTAGCTCAATGACTAGGTAGAATTCAGCTGCTGTCGGGGGAAGAGTTCTAAGTTGCTCTACAGTAGGGCTAAAATACACTGCATCAGTTTCTCACAGTTGTCATCTGCAATATAATTCTAAAAATACGCCACTTTATATGCAAATATCGAGCGGGTTATAAAGGTAATGGAATCAGAAACATCATATAATCCACATAAAATAATGGCTAGACATATGTGCGTCTCTGACAGAGAAGTAGATATTCACTCCTCCCTCGAAAGCCTGCGTTTTGATTTGTTCTATCCTCTCTCCTTACTTGCACACACACATACACGCACTCCCTCACACACTTACATACACGTCACTACCACACATGTTGGGAGGCCAATAGTGAGTTAAGGATATTGTTATTGTGGTGAGTTTTCGTTGGCATTTACAATAAAATAATTATGAGTCGTCATTGCGAACAATATTGTTTATTACAATAGCACCTTTCGATGGCTTAGCCATCATCATCAGTTTCCTAGTGCAAGACAATTTGTATTTCTTGTCACAATATTGTTGGCAATGACGACTCATGATTATTTCAGGAAGTTTAGAGCTATTTCGACTTTGGAAGATATCCGGAAAAGAAACCGACGTGTAGTTCGGATCTCACGTTCCGGCGTGGGAGAAACAGCACCCCCCGGTAATGCAACATGTACTACACTTACGGAACCAATGCCCGTAGCGGGAAACGCACACAAATCCATGCGTGAACGGCTGTTGCGCAGCTGCTGAACACGGGCGGGAGCGCGGGGCGGCTGGCGCAGCTGGACCCGGCCAAGGACGCGGCGGTGTGCGCGTCGTTCGCGGGGGAGGCGCGCGCCGACGACTTCCGGCGCCAGTTCTTCGTGTGCTCGCAGCAGGCGCGCGAGGACGAGCTGGACGAGCTGCTGCAGCAGGTGAGACATAAACGCCGCCAACGCCAACGTGTCGCTTCCTAACAAAAGATTCTTCCTACAGTTTCAGAAACATACAAAAGACATCATTGGCGCCCGGATAAACACCGGCATCGCCAACGTCTTGCTTCCTAACAAAAGATTCTTCCTACAGTTTCAGAAACATACAAAAAAACATCATTCCAAGGCCCCTCCTTGGTAATTCTAGGACTAATACGTACAAGCAGACTAGGCACGTGAATAGGGTCTTCACTGGAGAGGGGAATCTCAATATTTTTACGTTAAGAATTCTTTTATAAAAAACTAAATATAATCATCATTTTTTTCTTGATGTAAAAATAATAAATGTGCTTCTTACTTTTAAAAAAGAGGAATAGACTTTTTCAAAAGGAAACCAAATAAGTGATAAATGCTCCTTCATCAGCGGTCGAATTCTAAGGCATCCGCAAGGAATATCTGGTGGGCATGTCCGTAAAGTTAGCATACCCACTTAACACAATTTTGAAAAACTGTATCCCAGAATTTTGTTCTTATAATTAAAGACTAATTTATACCCAAATTCAAAATTTTCTACTAATCGCACAACATTGAAATAATCAACACTCAATGTGGTAGCTAACTTAAACGTTAAGTGCATATCTAACACAAGAAAAAGGCATGCCTACATAAAACAATAAATGTACCAGACGTTTGCCGAATTATGACTAATTTATATCCTAAATTCAACCAATTTTGAAAATTTGTGCATAACATGCGAAATATTCAGCAATTAAAGGTGGGTAAGCTACCTTAACGTCAAGTTAGTATATCCACACAAGAAAAACGCAAATGATACATAAAAACTCAATGTACCATAATTTTTGTTCTAATTAAGCTATTCGCCTATGATTGATGAAACTTTTACTTCGCGTGTAGCAAATGTTCTTCCATGTTAATCGGCCTATTTGATAGCATAAGAAATGTTTTCTCTCTCACCAATATTCTATGGATAAGATATTCTTGGACATTCCATTAAATTTTTGCAGGTTCGCACATATCGATACCACTAATGCCTGCTATATTTCAACCTTGGCAAACTTGTGACGTCACGCCTAGAAGGCTTAGATTCCTTTAAATTATACTATGTTGGCTCGTTCTGATGTTCAAACTGTGGGTTTGCGCACGACTGACGACATTCCATTTGCGAAATATTCATTCAAAATTCGCTCTCAGCAGCAACAATTAAATAGTTTTTTGTCGATGTCTGCAAGTGCTGTGTAAGCGGTAATTGTGGAGGAATAGAGGTGTACAGGGAAGAATGAACACGTGTTCTTCTTAGTTTCTGGATTGTGAATTTCCTGTACCAGTATTTTCGTTATCAGCAGCAATACGGTGAAAATATTTGTAAGTCAGCGTTTCAGCCACGTAGCTTTTCTCAAGAGGTAAAGATTTTATTTATTTATTTGTGACTATCACGAAAAAAGCTAACTATCAACACCATTGAGTAATTACTGTCAAATATTTTCAAAGAAAGTGGTGAATTGGTTCAGGAATCCTCAGGATAATACTGACATAAAATATTTATTGAAAATTTCTTTCAACATCAATTGCGGAGTTTTTACTCTCTCTTGCACATACTAAATACGGAAAGTAATATACGTAATAATAGGGAAAGTTGTGTAATGGCGGGGGAAACTAGTAGCGCTAGAACAACACATACTTTTCTCGGCATTTAGTGGATTATTATGTAATACTTTTGCACCTAGTTATGTAATACATTTTTTAATACATTATAAAATTGGAATAATTGGAATTTAGCTATTCCTTTTCTTTACATAAAGCCCCTGACATTTTTAAAAAATAGCTCCAACGTTTTTTGATTAAATTTTTTGTTTTGATATTCATCATATCATCCTAAAGCATTGTTCTCTTGCCGCTGCTTCAATGACATTCTGTCTCACTGTTCTTTTGGTATCTGCATAGTTTTTTTTAATTGTAATTGGGTTTTGAAAGTTGTTGCTAAATTTATATTTTAAGGTCTCCCTCTTCCTCGTTTTTCCAACAATTGGACATTCCGAAATTGTATTTGAGCATTTGTTATGCTAAAATGTGTTTACAATACAGTTACTATAATCTAGGGTTGCCGACTAATGCGCCGGCTTCCTCATCGTTATGTTTGGTTTAATGAATTGTTATTAAACGCTGGCCTCTTTCCTTTGCCACAAAAGTCGAAGAGGAGGCCGGTAGGTATCCTCATGATGATAATACAAGGACCGCTTGGGTCAGGAACTCAGTTAAGTTACAAACAGGAAGTTTAAAAAAATATTGACATTTAACTCAAATATGTCGCTTTTTTTGTTGCTACTTGTTAGCAAAAATGCCGCTCTTTCATTTTGATCTCTGTTATTAAACATTCACTAAGTGTGAATCAAGTTAGTTCCGCAATGATAAGAAAACCGAAAGAAGCTACAGAGTATTCACAAAAAATACTTACATGGGATTATCGTTTCTTGCTTGCATCAATAGATCTTAAATTTTTTGTCTTATAAATATGCTCCCAGGAAATTCCAAAACATGAGGGCGGCGGCCCGCCTTTCCTCAGAGCGTCTTTCAATGCTGAAGCTTTCTCCTGGCGGGGTTTTTCCGAAGCTCTTCGAGCTTGTTCTGGGCCCTGTGTATTTTTGTATAGAACAGGTTTCGCTAAAGCTTTGTGAATGAAATGATGCCGGCAGCCAGAATCTGCTGTTACCGTTTAGTAACCTCCGTTTGGAATGTTGGGCCGTACTTCTTCAAAACTGATCGGTTATTTTAAATCCCTGGGCATCAGATTTGTAAAAGTTGTGAGAATAAGAAAATTATTAAAATAATTAAGAATTACAAAAAAACTTTTCTATTTTTTTTTTAATTTCTGATGCTAAATATTGTTCAGAATCCAGGGAAAGATGTAAATTTACTTGTATTCAAAGTAATAGATGTAGTGTTGGTAAGCAATAGTATTGAGTTTATATGACATACTTGGACTTCAGAACTAATCAGGATTATTTTGCTTAAACTGTAAATAAAATAACATCACAGATTGAGTTTGTATTTTGGAACACCATATTATACAATATTATGTGAAATGACATGGTGCATTACATCAATATTTTCATTATACCAGAAACAATTGCTTGAAATAGTGTGTTTCTATGTAGTATATAGGAACTTTCTAGTAATGAAATATCCCTTTCAACAATCTTTCAGTGATAGTTCAGTCATACAACAGTTACATGCATACGGCCATACATACCCCCGCCAAGTCAATGACTTTATAGTTTCAAAACCAAATCAAAAACTTTGCAATGTCTGACCGGTATTTGATTCTTCTGATTTCAGGATTTAACACGATGGTAACGAATGCACATTATCCTGCAGCTTGTACTTTTCTCCCAAAGCAAAACTTTAAAAGAGAGTGACTTCATTTTTTCTTTCTTCTTTGAGATTTGATTTGTAATATCGTAAAAGTACTTACGATTATTGGTTGTTTAGTTATTGGTACTACAAATATGCCCTAATGATCAGCTACATAGAATGACCTAAGATGGTGCTCAGTGTACTCTCGTCGGACCTCGTTGCTGCTGAGTAATCGGTACGCGCTACAAGCAGGCTAGTATCGTATGCTTACATCGCGCAGGAGAGTTCTCAGTTAGTGGGAGCTACTCCTGCTGGGCGTTATGTTTCCTGATCGTCGCTTCTACGTCGATGGGAGTCGTGGGCTTCGGTAGAGGGTGAGTCGATGGCATTGTGTAAGTCTAGTGGAACTACTGAACGGTGTGGAGGTAGGTGATTGGGTTTTCGGGTGTTTTGGGGGGGGGGGGCCGGGTCGGGCGCGGGCGACTTTGGTGGGGCTTCACCGGTGGCCTCGGCGCCGTTTCCGCGCTGTCCCGCTGTCTGCGGTTCTTTGGTTTTGTTGTTGTTCGCTGTGCCCGTTGCTGCTGCTTGCGCTCCCCGTTTGCGGCGGGCTCTGGCGGCTCTCGCTTTTGGGCTACTCTCCTCTGTTTTCTTGGCTTGTCCTCTCGCTTCCTACTGTTGTCTTGTGGGCGTTCTCTTGGTTTATGCCTTTATCTGAGTGTCTTTTGCCGTTCGTCGTTTTGTGGGCTTCCCTCCGCCGCCCCTGAGCTGCAATGGCTCGCTGCCCCTGTCTTGTCTCCGCTCTTGTGGCTGTGCTCTTTTTTTTTACGTTCTGTCGGCCCCTTTCCCCTGCGTTGTTTGGTCTTGTTTTTTTCCCCCCAGTTTGCCGTTGTTTTTCGGCGGTGTCCCGGGTGTTTGGCGGTCGGCCGCGGGCTGGTTCGCGCCGGTTTTCTTGTCCGTGTGTCCCTTTGTCCTCGTGTTGTCCCTTAGCGCTCTTTTTTTTACTCTTGTTTTCCCCGGCTCATGCGCTATGGTTCTTTTGCCCATGTTGCGGCATGTCTTCTCACCCGTTTCTTCCCTCAACTATCCTTCCTGACTCTTTGGGAGTCTGGCGGGATTTATCAGCCAGCTTGTAAGCTGGTGGGCCGTACGTTGCAAGTTTGTGGGCCCCGGTGGCGGACGTGGCTCGCTGCTTTCCACCGTGGGGTTGTGTCTATTTCGGGTGGTGTCCCTGCTGGGCTGGAGCTTTCGGGCAGACGGCCATTTGTAGTCTTGGGTCTCCCTTTCGCGTTTCTTTCATTTCCCCTCTCTTTCCCTCCGGCCTGCATATTTCCTTTCTGCTATCTCGTCTCCTTGACGTCTTCATGTGGGTGTCTGCCTAACCCCCGCCCCTCATCTCTGTTTCCCTTCCTCGGTAGGCGCGCACTTTTCGAATGGACTTGCAGACCTTGCCCCTTTACACCTTTTACCCTCTCCGGACAAAATTCTTCTCCCACCGATTGACATCTTGAAACTCCGGCTTTTTTATCCATCATTTGTTGTTTGTGAAGTTCGACGGTAACTGATTTATAAAGGGATATTAAGTCGTGATATTTTAGCACACTTGTGTTTTCTTTGTGCGTTGGGCGCTGTACCCTTTCTGATTTGGAGGGATTCGGCGGAGTAGGGGAAGTTGTGTCGGGAATGCGCGGTTCCGGGGAAAAAGTAGTTGTGTGGGGTAGAGGTTTGTCCTTGTAGGCCTAGAACATTAGAAGAGCTGCGAAGGAATATTCGTAATGGAAAATTTGATAATATGTATCACGAGTTGCGCAATTATGATGCGATACG